AATCAACGGTTTACACAAACGCTGACTTGCGTTCTCTTTGTGTCTTAGGTACAAATCACATAATAGAGCAAAAGAAGAAGAAGACAACTTGAATCACAACCACAACTAAGAAACTCGAACTCTTTTATGGTTGTCTCTTGGATTCCCTCTTGTCTTTTCTCTCTTAACCACAATTGCTCTCTATCTCCTTTTGTGCTCTTTCTCTTTTTTTTTTGATACCCTTAACGTTAGTATACGTTCTCTTTATATAGGCCATGGTTTGCTTCATTATTTCCTCTTCCTAGTAGACTTGCCTTTTCTCTGTTTTCTTTTTGAACAATCAAAACCGACTTGTAAAAGGATTTGGGCTTGCTTTTAGAAACCCCACTTTGAGCCCACTAGCCTAACCTGAGAAAGAAGGATGAAGCCGATTAAACCCACAAACTCCACCTGCTTCATTCTTCACGTTTTCTTCTTTTTTTTTTCCGATTACGAGAAGCTTTTCTTCCTTCACGATTCAAATCCATCGCCGGCTAGAACTTCAACAACTCCGGTGAGTTCTTCTTCATCGCCGTCTCCAGAAGCTCTCAACTTCATCTCATTGACCTGAGATGACCATCGATGCTGCAACATCTCCATCTGTGACTTCCAACTCCGGCGATTACTTCGCCGTCGACTCTGTAATTCGRGCTCAGGCAGCTTGAGAGAGTTCGCGACTCTCCCTCATGCTTCTGTACCCGCTGGTGCTCTTTTCCGATCTCGAAATCATCCCAAAAACCACGACGGCTACGCTTCTTCCCTTGACATCTCTTCTTCACCAATCTTCTGGARACCGCAGGTAATTCTCAACCTTTAAACCTTTATGTACTTTGACATAACCGACCTCTTATCCCCTTTTCCTCTTTGATTGATAGTGAATCTCTATGCAATTTCAACATTAACTTTGCATCTTCTGGCGATTCCTCTGTCGCTAATCATTGTCTCCTCTGAAATTTCTTTAACAACCATCGAACCCTTAACTGTCTCTTTGTCTTATTGTTCGAATTTTGAAATTTCAGTTTACWAATTCCTTTGACTTTGCAGCTTCTTGAACAACCATGTTCTTCTGCTCCTTAGATAAATTCAGGTAACCCTTTTAACCATGAATCATCTCCTTTGACCGTGTATCTTCAAGCCTTGATACATCATCTAACATAGTTCCGTTTTCCCTCCTGGAACCAGAATCAACCCTCCATGATTTCTGATTCCTCCACACAGGTAACGTATCCTCTTCTCCATTCCCTTGGATTTTCATTATCGAATGACAAGAGCTCTTATGAACCACATGTTTCTTTGTCCTTCGTCTTTGCTAGCAACTATTTTGACAATGAGATCTCCTTGAAACTGTGACTGCTTATGGAACCTAAGTCAATTCATGTTAGCCTCTTCTGATTAGAGATCAACCTTTTCTCATGCTTCTGATTATCTTCAGGTAACTCCTTTACCTCTGAGATATCTAACCTTTGCAGATTCAAGAACATACCCTGAAGAACTGACTTGTCTTCTCTTGAATCTTTCTGTCCACAG